GAGCACCGAGCACTGTGCTGGACACTTCGATATGCGTTGTTTCCTTTGGTCCTTCTGGTGGCTTTATTGGGCAGGTGTTATACTCTCCCCTTTTCCAAATGGGGAAACAGGGGTCCTGAGAGTTTGAGCAAGTTCCCCAAGATGACACATCTGGGAAGTGGTAAAGCTGGGACAAGACCAGGCAGCACTTACCTACCAAGGCGCCATTTGCTCATTCAAAAGAAATCTAATGACAGATGGCGATGAAAGAGAGCAGTGTGGATGACAGACTCCATGTAAGAGAATCCTTCGCTGAGGGCCTGGGGCTGCAGGAGGCTCCATGAAACACTGAGAGTGTTTGTGAAACTGTCTGTGTGCATATGATCTGCTCGTTTTTCAGCAGAGGGCTCCTCCAGGCCAGATGGACACCCCCCCCCCCCATCTAAACCCAGGGTTCCTGTGATCAGAAGGCTGGTCACTGAGTAAGGGCACCTGAGACGCTGGTCCTACTCTCTCTCCGCTGGTTCTCATTCTGAGATCTCAGAAGGCCAACAGCTGACTGCAAAAGAGGGTGGCGATGTTTCTTCTGATGGCCACTGGGGTGGGCGTTGATACAGTTGAAAGGTTAGGACTTTGGAGCTGAAGACGCTTCGGGAATGGCCCAGTCCAACCTCCTCACTTTACCAGAGGAGGAAATTGGAGCTCAGAGAGGAATCCGACATGCCCATGATCACCCAGTGAGTTAGTGGCAGAAAACGTTCTGTGCATTTGTAGGTCTGCTGCAGAGATCTGTAGGCTGTAAAGTTAAGCAAGGCAAAGAAATCAACACTTACGAAGCTTCACATCCATGCCATGCATGGTGCTGGCACTTCCGCAGCCACTATCACCTTCACCCTGTGCTGTAGGAGAATTCAGGTCGATGTCCCACTTCTGCCATCATCTTCCCCTTGCACAGGTGATGCTGACATTAGAGGACAAGGATATGAAGGGATTCACCTGGGCCATAGCCCCGGCCTTGACCTCCCTGGGCTACCTGCTCATTCTGCTGGTGTCCGTCTTTCCCTTCTGGGTGCGGCTCATGAACGAGGAGTCCCATGAAGTGTTTTTCAGTGGCCTGTTTGAGAACTGCTTCCATATCAAATGCTGGAAGCCTCGACCCTTATCCAGTAAGGAGGGATGGAAGCGGGGATGGTGGGGTGGGGTGGTGGGGGAAGGGAGATAGGGCCAGTGTGGGGACTGGGAATGACAGGACAGGTCAGGGGCAGATAGGACAAAATTTAGTAAGCCCATGAGGGCTGAGATTTCCTTGAATCTCCACTCTCTCAGGGCTGGAGGAAAGTAGGAGGCTGGTTTATCACACCAGGTTGACCACTGGAGTTGGAGCAGATATGTCAGCAACAAAGTTAATTGCTATGCTAGGAGTGCTCTAGCTAGGACAAGGGAGGGGGTCCCACTGCTCTGTGAGGTGACACCAGCTCTCACCACCCTTTTGGGTGGGCACTGCTCCAAACCAGGGGAACAGCCCTGGTCAACAGAGTGTGGCTGGGTTTCCGCCCCTACTTGTTCCTTTGGCCACACACCTGCCCAGCTGTAGGTGGCAGCTCTCCAGATAATGTGAGCCATCCTGTGTGAGCTCCTTGATCCAAGATTCCTCGACCTTGGCACTACTGACATTTTGGGCTGAATCATTTTTGTTGTGGGGCTTTCCTGTTTCCTGCAGGATGGTTAATAGCATCCCTGGCCTCTTCTACCCACCAGATGCCTGTGGTGCTATAGGCACCTTTGGTTGTGACAATCAAAATTATCTACAGGCTTTGTCAAATATTCAAGGGGCAAAATTGCCCCTGGTTGAGAACCACTGTTTAACCCGAGGGTAGATTCTGGAATTTCTGGGTCTTCCCCAACACCTTTGCCTCTTTGTCCCACCGTTAGCTATCCGTCTCTGCATGCTCAGAAGGGTGTATGAACTCCTTTCAACATGGGTCTGCATCATGCCAACAGTAGGAGAATAAACCACCCTGCTACCCGACACTGGCCCTGTTAATCTTGGTCTGTTTTACTACTCCTATTAACGAGGAAAATTAAATAGGGGTGTGGGGGTGCCCACAGAGTTCAAAACGTTTTGACCTCAGGAAGTTCTGATTCTGCATGGGTGAGTTATTTCCGTGTAACCAATTCAGATGTGATTCTTCACATTTGCACATGTGACAAATTTTTGTCCTGAGAGTTTCATTTCATGTTGTTTGTTAAAACCACCACTTTTCCCTAATGGATGATACACAGTTTCCCCACATGGTTTGATACAACCAGATTCATATAGTAATATTTGTTAAGAACTGATGAATGATTTCAGTGTTTGATGTTGTCAATCCAATTTTTTTCCCATATACTTCCATGTCACTGGGAACAAAATAGTGAGGCCAGAGCACTCTGGGGGGCAAAGTGGCAGAGTCACAACCTTGGCCCCAAGGCCATGCTTTGGGACCTGAGGATGGGGGAGGCTCTGGAGGCCAGCCCTGCCCAGGCTCTGACTCTTTGGGTCAGGGTCCCCAGCTCCAGCTCTAGCTCTCTGTCCCCTGCAGTTTACATCCTCCTTGGCCGGGTTTTCCTGCTCTCTGCAGTCGTACTGTCTTTCCTCACCACCTTCATCATGGTGTCCTTTGCATCTGAGCTCTTCCCAAGGACTCGGAAGTACAATTTTGTGTCAGCCTTCATCAGCTTCCTCACAGGTGTGGAACAGCCAGGCAGTCCCTGTTTGTTGCCAGGGCCTGGGGAGGGGTCCACAAGAAGGGGGGGCATATGATCTCTGGGGTGTCAAGAAAGGCATAAGTTTTAAGGCCCCTCCTCTGTTGCCATCTCTGTGAAGTAACCCACCCCCACACCTGCCCTCACAATTTAGGATACCTCTTCTTTGGGGCTTCTCCACTCTGCATTTCCAGCTAGCCAGCCCTGACCATGTGGGCTTGGGGTCATTTGTCTGGGAGGCCTTTTTACCAGAACCTATGTATCTCAGTGACTGTC